TACTCTGTGTGTATTTCTGGAATGCATGGATGGTTGAAGGAATGACGTAATAAGGATAAACTTTTTATATCCCATTCATCAGCAAATTCTGTTGGCTCTGTCTTCAAAATGTACCCAGCATGTGATGACTTCTCAAAACCTCATCGTGGTTTAGGCCACCATCATCTCTCCCCAGGATTAGGACAGTGGCCTCCTAACTGGTTTCCCTGTTCTACTTTTGCCTCTATACAGCCTCTTTTCCACATGGCAGCAGAGTGATTCTTTTAGCAGCCAGGTGATACCATCATTCCTACAACCCTCCAGTGATTTCCATCTCACTCCAAAGTAAAAACCAAGTCCTTAAAATGCCCTGCAAGGCTCTGCATTTTCTCATCTGCCCTCAACCTGTCCCACCATTGCTTCTCTGAACCCGTGTATTTCTCTCTCCACCTCTCATTCTGTTCTAGCCACTCTGGCTACCTCTCTGTCTGTCAAACACGTCAGGCATTCCTCTGACCCAGGGCCTTTGTATTAGCTGCTCCCTCTGCCTGGAACGGTCTTTCTCCAGATGCCAGCACAGCCCACTCTCTCACCTCCTTCAGTGTCTTTCCACTAGAGTGTAAGTTCTGTGAGGTCAGGAGTTTGTTTTTTTCTTTTTTCACTGTTACTATCCCACTGCCCAGAACAGTACTTTTATTTGCTGGAAGGAGGAAGAAAGCAAAGAAGTAAGGAAGGAATCAGGAAGAGGGAAGCAGGAAACTAAATTAGAACTCATGGATATGAAGATGTGGCCATGGAAAGTATGGCCTCTAGTCCTGCCCCCATCATTAAACTCCACACCTGAGAAGGGCTTTAAACATGTTTTCTGGTAGTTTCCTGTTGATGTCTTTCTAACCTCTACAATTATGTTTTCATTTCTTTTCTCTTACCTGGGAAAAGTGCCTTTGCAGTAGTTTTAGTTGCCACCTGGCACAGAAGGAGTGTGACAAATGACACATAATATATTGCCTTAACTTTCTGTAGCTCTTTGTAGAAGCTGGATTGTTTCTCTTGAAAGCCTTCTTGAGCCCCTGCCACCGCAGTGGGTGCTGTTTGGCTGAGAGCTCCCTGGAGTCTGCTGCTTGTCTGCTGTTTACTCAGTAGGCCATTCTGACCGCCCCTTACCTGAGGCTGCCTCTCCTCTCTATTGGGCCTTTATGTTTCTCTTCTTGGTTTTTCTTTTGGATTGCATGTTGCTTCAAATAAAATCGCTAACAACATATGGCCTGTTATGATTCTCTTTTCCCAAACTCTGCCATTTTGTATATTTGTGACACACTACAGATTTTGTGAAGATTGCTTCATAATATTTGTTTACCATCTGCTGCACTCTATTTGGTACCTTGCTAGGATTTTTTCCTCCATTTTAAGTGACATTAACAAAATCTAGCCAGTACATAGGCTTTCTGGTTCTACTTTTGCTTCCCTAATGTGCTGGAAAATCATATTACTGTGCTCCAGGCAACTAGAGAAGCCTGGAATTCTCATTGTGAACTAGTGTATCAGATTTGTCTGCTCCCCCAACCCCACCCCTTTTCTTAGTCATATCCGGTAATGCTTTTTTGGTCAGATGGCAAAGAACCTTCATGTATAAGATAGAAACAGCTCAAATTATTTTTTTTACTTCTTACTACTTAGTACCACTACTTTCTAGTGTTGTTCTCTAACATATTTATACCTTTGAAACTTTGTGCCAGTTTAGTAAGTTTTTATGATTTATGGTTCCAGCTAGTGGAATTTTTATAGCTAATCTGGTTTGATAGGCAGCTAGCCTGAGTTTTGGCTAGGTGGGTTGTATATATCCAACTTCTTGTTCAAAAAAGTATTTTAGGCTACTGCTGTAGTAAGTTGTTTAGTATGTATTTCTGCTTTTTACCCTTCACTAACTTTTCATAGCTGTCAATTCACTGTCTTTAGAGAGAAGTACAGTTTTGCTTTACAGGTTAAGGTGAATGGTTTGCTCTTGGGCTGCCATTAAGGGGTCAGAGATAGCTCAGCTTTTACCTTTTGGCTGGAGCCACCAGTCTTCTCATGGGTGTGGTTACTTTTCCAACTCAGTTTCCTCTTGGACAGAAACAGGAGTCTTTCTTTAATAAGACAACTAAGCACAGATATTAAAGAACACAGCAGACAGTCCCCCAAAGAGCAGTTTGTAAAGAAAACATACATAAAACTAGGTATTTGATTAACCCATAAGAACTATTAATCACTATTTCATATAAGCCTGATTTCATCCCCAGCCTTTATTAGAATGCCTCTTTCATCTTATCTGAAATCTTTCTTTTGGAGTCAGACCCCCTTATGGGATAGTGCCAACATTTTATCACTGGGTCGATGTCAAAAGCTATTCTAGTCTTTTGACCTTAGTTTTCTGTCCACTTAAGCAAATGCTGTTGTAATGTTTCTTTTTTTGCAACTTCTCAACAAGAAATTATGCTGGTAGCTGACTTCTTTCACAGATCTTTTTCTTCTGAAATACTCCCTTAAGAGATTTCTTAGAAATTTAGAATTCCAGAATGTTTTGGTTTAACCTTAAAGGTTAAAGCCCTAGCTTTGAGAAGTTGAACTTTCCTTTTGTTCATGATTGCGATTGAAATGATCTTTCTGTAATTGGTGCCCTTTCTTTAGAATTTATAAGAAGGATTTTCACCTGTTTTACCAAAATATAAGCACCTGCCCATCCTGTGTGAACAATACCTTACTCAGGTCCTGTGTATATTGAAATTTGAATATAAGCAGTCTCTTTGTAACCATCATCTCTATAGCTAGCTTAGTTGCAGAAATGAGATTTATTTTAAAAACCACTTTATTCAGGCTGGAAATTGTTTTTATTCCAAGTTCATGACTTCATAAAGAACATCAGTTTAGCTTACATTTAAACAGAATTTGACCTGGTTTTATAGCAGAAATGTAAAGTGCTTTCGTGTGTGGTGATATGTAACATTATATCCTTTTGTACTCTGTTTTTTCCCGTCTCCTGCATTTTTAAGAAAACTTTCACTTTAACCTTGAAAATAGTAGTTTCTAGAACCTATATATAGGGACTCCTTTCTTCTCTTTCTACAGCTAGAATGCCATTTCTCTCCCAATTCGGCCCTAGAGATTTTGTATCTAAAGTGAACAAAGGAAAGAAAAAGTGCTAGATTCCTATATAGTTCTTTATGTGTATAACATCTCTCAGGACTGTGCTGTCTTCGTTACTGAACGTGACCAGTGTATGCCTTTTACTCTGAAAACAGGCAACTCTTAATAACAGAATACTGGTAATGGCTCTCCCAGATTTAGACAGTGTGATCTTGGTGATGCTGATTCACACCGAGTTGGGGAACTCTGCAGGAGTGAACCAGGATCCAGAAACAAATGCTTGGAAAGAAAACCTGAATGACAGCTGTGGGTCACTGAATGGGGCTGGTCGAAATGTTGGTTTCTATCATGCTATCAGATTGCTGTTGGCTACTGAAGAGATAAAGGGAGAAAGTATTTTGCTTGAAAATAAGCTAATTATGAAAGAGGACAAGCTTCCTCCTAGGGTCCCCACAGCCTAGTCACTGAGCAAGGGGGTATCCTTGGAACTACAGGAGGGAAGACTCACTGACCTGTGGCGGGGGGAAGATCCCTGTGTTGAACTGAAATCCCTGTGTACTTTCAGTAAGCGTTCCCCGAGCATGTTGTGCAGGCTTATTCTCTTCATGATGAGAGATTTAGCTGAGGCTCTCCAAGCCTGGGGTCAGAACAGCCTTTCTATATGATCAAATCAGTAATTATATTGCCAAGAGTGAACAAAAATAATAATTCTGATTTTTACAAGCATACCAGAGTTGAGGCATCCTACTGAGAGCCTGTCCCTTCCAAGTTGTCCCCTTGGGAGGTGCTGTACGTCGCTCAAGATGTTTTCGGCATTTCTTTCAACTGTGCATTTAGAGTCTACCACCTAGGTTGGCCTCACTGTTGACATATCTTTACAGAATGATGAATAGCTAACTATATATTTAGAAGTAGCCATAAGTCCTTCTTAGATATGCCTGGCAGATGGTGTGGGTGAGCAATCAGGCCAGCAATTCCTTTTTGGGTTAAAAATGAGGTTTAATACTCTCACGCAGCCTATAGGGTTTTAAAGCAGTTTTGAAGAGATATTTCAAAAACTACTTTGAATAAGTGAAGGATCATGGAATAAGTACATTATTTCTAGATGTGGTCTCTGATGATACTTATTCAAATTGACACATTCTGGTTGTGTAGTTGGTGAAGTCTTGTCCTCCAGCCTTGAGATTTAAATTATTTCAAAGTAGCATGAATAGCATTTGAAGCTTACTATGGTTGGAGAGTACGCAGAACAAGTGAAACTGTTCAGAAAGGGCTGCGAACCATAACGGGGTAGAGAGAACTGTGTTAGAGCTGCTTTACCAGTTAACCTTGCGCTAGGCCCAGCTTCTCCTGTGAAAAGAGGACAATAATGATGATGTCCATGTCATAGGTTTGTTATGATTTTTTTAAGGAGATATTGCATGTGAAGCATAGATCACAGTGCCTCATCTATAATAGTGTTCAATAAGGGTTAGCCATTTCTATCATGCTGTTCTCACATGATAGATTGCCTGGGAGAGAGGAAGAATGGAGAAATCGGGATATAGTGCTGTTTGGGAGACCAAAACTGATCTCTCTTTGGTTTTTAAAGTTCCCCAAACCAAACCCATTTTGTCATATTCCAGTTTTATTTAGTTTAACCTGGTATGTGTTGTGAATGACATGAGCCATATTTTAATTTTCTGCTATCTCTAAAAGAAAGTTTTAGTTTTACATTGAGATTCTGATCATATATTCCAAATGGAAAACAAAACAACAAACTAATTATCTCAACATCCCCCCAAAAAGTGACGTTGACAGTTAGGATATCACGTTGTAATAAACCAATTGTATTATGTTCCCTTTGTGCGTTAAACAAATACACACCTTATCATTTGCATTATGTTGCTTTTAAACAGATGAAGATGAAGATGGTGATCGAATTACAGTGAGAAGTGATGAAGAAATGAAGGCAATGCTGTCATATGTAAGTATACAACAAATGAAGATTATTTTTTTGTGAAGTGTTAACATAATTGAGGATGCTGTTTCTTGGGCATAGTAAAGACGTGATAAATCACAATTGCCATACATTTTACTATATAATAGGTAAAGGTTTCAAGGATTTCCGTATATGAAAGTTAAGGGCATTATTTTCAAAGACACTTACTGATCATATCATAAACATTAAGAATAATGCATCTTAATGACTTTTGCATTAGGTATGGTGCAGACTAAATGGACTATCAATTTCCTGTATTTTTTATGCAGTACTTAAAGTAACGGCTCATTAAAAATGAACCCCTGGGCTCTAAAAAATTTTTCAAAATCTACTTTCAACTGGAGATCTCTCTCACCCTTCCAGACTATAGTTACAATGTAGCTGCAGGCTTAATATGGATACACGATTTAAAGATGTGCTCTTGGTTATTTATGCACTACCCATCCTACTCCCACCGAAAATGAACTACAGGGTTACTTACTGAATCAAAGTGATTTGAATATATTCTGAAATGACTTCTTTTCTGTTTAAAATTTTACTGAAAACCTGCGTTAACATTTGTCTGATACTGAAGTAAACAAGAGTAAAGGGCCTATTTCTGAAGCTTCAGTACTAAGCTTGAGAAATGCAACTCTCATGAGGGAACACAGGTTATCTGAACCTTGATTTGAGCCTCCCTCTCAAGTTATGTTTTATTGCATCTGAGTTTATAATCTGTTTATAAAACCTTTTCCAGTGGTCTGGTAGAAAGAGCACTGGACTGGAAGTCAGGAGACCTTAGCTCTACTGAGATTTCTTGGCCTTAGGCAAATCACTTAACCTTTCAGTGCTGTAGTTGCCTCATCTGTCAATTGTGAATAATAATACTTGTCCTTTATACTGCACAAGGCATTGTAATGATCAGATGGGAGAATAGATGTGAAAGCCCTTTGAAAAGTTAAAAGTTCTATACAAATGCAAATGATGGAATCATTTGGAATCATGTGGAAATGATGGAATCAGGGCTGTTGCTTTTCATTGAGACTCTAATCTTAGTCAACATTTAGGTTGTAGGTTTTTGATAGACTTCAACTTCAACCAGGATATTGTTTCATTGTAATGAAAACCATAAACTATGGGTTTCCGCCAGTAGTTTTAATTTAGGGTAGGAGGAAAGAGAACAAGAAGGATAGGATGATTAACAGCATTGCATTCCAACCAGCACAGAATAGGAAAAGTCAATTTCCCATTGACTTCCCATTAACTTATGTGAGAGTCTTTGTGTACTAAGAATTTAGAGCTGGGCTCATCAGTACCTTGGAAGGCAGAATAGGATTGTCTGCTGAAAAGGTCTAGCACTAGTATTGATAGATTGACTAACTCTCCTGAGAATGTGACATGCTTATTTTTAGAAACACACACACAGATGGGTTCTAATTTTCTCACATATGTCCATTGCAGAGAACTGACATCAATATATTTTCATTATGTATTCAACTTAACCACATGCAAAAGATATGTACTTTGGGTATGATTTTACAAATTGTGCTTTTTGAAAATGTTAGTGGATGTGATCATGGTGATAATAATAATGATGATTTCCATTTCTAAGTTACTGCTATATTCAAAATGCTTGAGGTATTTAAATTTTTAGTTTTAATAATCACTCTGCAATACAGATATTATCATCATCCCTGTTTCTTAGATGAGGAAGCTATATGCCCAAGATTTTAGAGCTAGTATGAATGTGACTATGGAATTTAAATTGTTTCTTTTTTTCCCCCACGCTGTTCCTTATTTACTGTTTTACATTGTCTCGCCCCCACATTCCTCCTTGCACATTTGCAGCAGGATCTTTTTATGTGAACACCATATTTATTTTTGAGACAAAGTCTTGCTCTGTCACCCAGGCTGAAGTGCAGTGGCATGATCTTGGCTCACTGCAACCTCCTCCTCCCAGGTTTGAGTGATTCTCCTACTTCAGCCTCCTTGAGTAGCTGGGATTACAGGCACCTACCACCATGCCCAGCTAATTTTTGTATTTTTAGTAGAGACAGAGTTTCACCATGTTGGCCAGGCAGGTCTCGAACTCCTGACCTTGTGATCCACCCACCTTGGCCTCCCAAAGTGCTGGAATTATAGGCCTGAGCCACCTCACCTAGCCTATCATGACTGTTATTAAATTCTGAATAATGTGGGTTTATGTAATACCTTAGTTGTGATTTCTGCACCATATTTTCCTTACAGCATATGCTTATTTTCTCAAATGCAGTGTTTAATTATGTGTGTAGGAAATTTGTGTGTAGGAAAATATGATTACCTAATTTTATATTACATGTCCTTAATTTAAGAGTTCCTGAGATTTCTTGGAAGCTACTACTTTTTGTCTGAATAGAAGTCATCTAGCTCATTGATGAGCTAATTTTAAAATTATTTTTATAGAGATGGGGTCTTGCTTTGTTGCCCAGGTTGGTCTCAAACTCCTGGCCTCAAGTGGTCCTCCTGCCTCAGCCTCCCAAAGTGCTGGAATTATAGGCATGAGCCAAGGTGCCTAGCCAGGTTGGCTGAAATTTTGATCTGTCTCGGTTCTTATGATTGAAATTTAAGGAGAACCATTTGGACCTAATCTCACAGTAGGTTTTGGTTGGAAGTCCTCATGATTACCAGCATGTTCCTACAAATTTTCATTGGTCTTTATTTTGTAGGTTCAATTTGGCTCTGAAGTTTGAGTCCAGGATTTGGTGTAGTGGCATAGGGAAGATACTGACAGATTACTACATTTTTACTGTTTTTTACAAAAAGCTTTTTTTTTTTTGGTTTTGTTTTGTTTTGTTTTTGAGATGAAGACTCACTCTGTTGCCTAGGCTGGAGTGCAGTGGTGCGATCTCAGCTTACTGCATCCTCAGCCTCCTGGGTTCAAGTGATTCTCATGCCTCAGCCTCCCAGGTAGCTGGTATTACAGGTGCCTGCCACCACACCTGGCTAATGTTTGTATTTTTTTGTAGAGACGGGGTTTTGCCATGTTGGCCAGGCTGGTCTTGAACTCCTGACCTCAAGTGATACGCTTGCCTTGGCCTTCCAAAGTGCTGGGGTTGCAGGCATGAGCCACCGCACTCGGCCAAAAAAGCTTAGTTTTTCATTTAGAATTCAGTAAATCTGTACTCACCTTACTATTTCTTTAAAAGCCATTATGTGGGAAAGCAAAAATAGAGGCACTTTTACCGTTAGTCCTTTAATCATTCTTTTCCATTGATTACAAAGGTCAAGTAAATAGACAGCCTATACCTCTGCTTAAGAATAAAAACAGATTTGCAACCTCTGAGTTGAAACTTGAAGAATTACTTCTTCCCCGTTTGGATGCAAGCATTTTCTGGCTTTGGGCCAGTACAAATGTACATTTTTATCAGTAATTTAAACAGATTTTTGTATTAGACCTGAAAATGTTGCCTTTTTAATTGAAAACTTATCAATTATTTAAATTGCTAGCAGCCTGAGGCTGTTAATTTTATGAGTGCCATAATAATGGCATACAGTGGTTTTTGATACATGTAACACATGGAATATTGTATTGTGGTAAGGATTTGTCACGACAATAGGTTGTCGTGTACTGTTAAATAATAACCAGCATATTAAGCCAAAGTCTGTTGTCACACATTAGTACCATTTTATGTAAGTTATTTAGAAGTTGTATTCTTTTCTTCATTAGATATATTTTTAAGAGATAATGAGAAGAAAACAAAGCTATAATAAATTGTCTTTTAGGAAAATGTAAAGTAATTTGGTCTCCAAGGAGATATTTAATGTATTGAAAGAATTCAGCAGCCAAATGTTATTACAGCACCATTGTGATAGCTCTCTGCGTTTTGTTATGAGTTTGTGTTAATCAACAATCTGTTTTTATAGCATAGTTTCTTGTAAGTTATGTTGTTAGAATATTCCGCTTCTGGGATCATGGCTTTTCCTCTGACACTATTGTATCTTTTTAATTCCTCCATAAAGTATTTTTTTAATTAGAATTTGAAATGCTTTATTAGAAAAAAAATACAACCTACATATTCTGAAAACTAAATACCTGATCATTGCTAATTAAATATTCCATTACTGTAGTTTAAATTTTCTTGTTGTTGTTCTCGTTTCCTCCTCTCATTTTCTAGAAAGATTGAAAATAGCATGCTGCTTTTTTCCTTCCATATTTTTGTATTTGTTGCCTGGTAGTTCTATGGAGGCCCAGTTCTAGGAGGGGATTTTTTTACTGTTAATTCTCCTGTTTTGGGCGACCTTTCATTGGGAAATTCAGCTAATACATCTTGCTTTTGTAAATAGATTTATATTTGTTTCTGCTAAATCCGGTGTTTAGGGACTTATTACACCTGGTTCTCTTAATACTGAGAGGCTTGTGTGAGTGGAACAGAGTATTAACAAACATAATTTTCATCATTTTGTCTATTCTCACTATATCATGTTTTCCCACATTGCCAGAAGAGTATGGGATCCATTTTACTGTAATGCCTCCCATTATGAGAACTTGTATTATATTAAGCACAAGACCTTGTATTTAAGAGGAGTGTAAGTATTCCCTTTGGTGTATTTGACCACAGTGTACCTTGTTAGACGTTGTGTACTATAAGGGAAAAATACTTTTTGACCTGTGGAACACCTTGTAAATTGGGATATGATTGGCTTTATCCTAGTATAAATAACTTAGACATTACTTCTAAAATCATGCAGTTACTTAAGTCGAGTTGGAAGGGAACGACAGAGGTTTTGTTCAACTCTTTCATTTTACAAATAAGGACATTGAGGGCCACGGAGAATAGAAGATTCAGATTAGTTGGAAGTCACATGGCTAATTAAAGGGAAGGCCTGGATACAGACTCTTAGTCTCTTCGCTCCTGGTTGTTTTAAATAAGGTTTTTGTTTTGGTATCTATCGTCCTGCTCAGCTTTGCAAATACTACTTTTTTCTGAGTGTAAAAAATAATGCTTATTACTAAAATGTCACTGTAC